CGACTGGGGGTGCTGAGCCTGGGGGTACTACGCCTGGAGGTGCTGAGCCTGGGGGTGCTGCGTCTGGGGGTGCTGAGCCTGGGGGTACTACGCCTGGAGGTGCTGAGCCTGGGGGTGCTACGCCTGGTGGTGCTGTGCCTGGCGGTTCACCGGGTGCTCCCTCTCGCCGAGAGCCACTCTCTCCCCAGGAGCTGCGTGAGTGGTTTGCCCGGCGCTGGAGGCGAGCTGCTGGAGCTGCTGGAGCTGGAGGTGCTGCGGGTACTGGAGGTTCTGTGGCTGCTGAGGGAGCTGGTGCCACGGGTCCCGGAGGTGCTCGTACTGGGAGTAATGGAGCTGCTGGACCTGCGGGTACTTCTGGAGCTGGAGTTGCTGCGGGTGTTGGCGCGGAGGCTACTGCTGTCGGTCCTGGAGGCGGTCCTGCTGGGGGTACAACAGGTGCTGCTGGGGGTTCTGGAGCTGGAGCTGCTACTGGTGCTGGTGCTGCCACTGGGGGTGCTGGTGCTGTCCCTCCTGTGTCTGGAGTCGCCACGCGGCCTCGACTGTACTTCGTTCCGCTCCTTCAGCAGGTTCTTGGTCTCCCGCCTTCTACTGGTCCTCCTCCTCCCTTAGAGTGTCCACAGCCTGTCCCGTCGCAGTTACAGTTACAGCCGGCCTCCCCACTGCCTGCTCCGTCTCCCTACGCTGGTCCTACTGGAGGTCTTGCTGAGCGTCGTGAGCCTGCGTCTCGCCCTGCGTCGCCTGTCCGTGCTGCTCGCACTAGTGGTCGCGGTTCGCGTCAGCGTCCTCCTCCTGTCCCTGGCACGCACCGGATGTCTCTGCGTCCGTCCACTGCTCCTCTGCGTGCCCCTTTGCCTTCTCCTCCTGAGTCTTCTCTTCCTGCTCTTGCCGACCCGGAGTCGGACTCTCTCCGCGCTGCCAGTCCTACTGTCACGCGTCTCCTTGCTACTGTTGTCACTGACCCTTCCTTTGAGTCCACTGCTGCGTCTGCCCTAGTTGCTGAGCTCGTCGACTTTGTTGCTCGCTGTCGCCTAGACTACGTCGCCAGTCTTGTTGCTGAGTCTGAGTCTGTCTGTCCTCCGTCCGTCGGGGGTGAGTGTGCCCTTGGCACGGACGTCCTTGAGGACAGGCAGGAGGAGTTCCAGTGCTTGGCCGCTGCTTCACCTCATCTCGTGTCCGTACTGCTTACCCTTGAGGGAGACCCGGATGCACTTGACATCCCGACTCCGCGCTCTTACGCGGAGGCGATAGAGGGTCCCTACTCCTCTCAGTGGCAGGCAGCTATGGACGCAGAGATGGCTTCCTGGAAGTCCACAGGCACCTACGTTGACGCTGTTCCCCCTCCTGGGGCGAACATCGTCAGTGGCATGTGGATTTTCAGGGTGAAGCGACCGCCGGGTTCTCCGCCTGTCTTCAAGGCGCGTTACGTGGCTCGTGGCTTCAGTCAGCGGCAGGGAGTTGACTACTTTCAGACCTTCTCTCCCACCCCGAAGATGACCACTCTTCGGGTACTGCTGCACGTAGCTGCTCACCGTGACTACGAGCTACACTCTCTTGACTTCAGCACTGCTTTCTTGCAGGGCAGCCTGCACGAGGAGATCTGGCTGCGTCGCCCACCTGGCTTCACTGGGTCTTTTCCTCCTGGCACCCAGTGGAGCCTACGACGGCCAGTCTACGGTCTCCGCCAGGCACCGCGTGAGTGGCACGACACACTGAGGACTACACTTGCGGCTCTTGGGTTTGCTCCCTCTACTGCCGACCCGTCGCAGTTTCTGCGCACCGACACTTCTTTGCCGCCGTTCTACATCCTCGTGTACGTCGACGACTTGGTCTTTGCCACAGCTGACACTGCAGGACTAGCCCACGTGAAGTCCGAGCTGCAGAAGAGACACACGTGCACTGACCTGGGTGAACTGCGCAGCTACCTTGGCTTGCAGATCACTCGGGACAGAGCACGCCGCACCATTACCCTAACTCAGTCACACATGGTGCAGCAGGTCCTTCAGCGCTTCGGCTTCACGTACTCCTCGCCTCAGGCCACTCCTCTGCCTACTCGCCACTCGCTCTCAGCTCTGCCTTCGGATGAGTCCGTAGAGTCGAGTGGCCCGTACCCAGAGCTTGTTGGCTGCCTCATGTACCTGATGACCTGCACACGACCTGACCTTGCATACCCTCTTAGCATTCTTGCACGCTATGTTGCTCCTGGGAGACACAGACCGGAGCACATGGCTGCAGCGAAGAGGGTGTTGCGCTACTTGTGCAGTACGTCGGGCATGGGGCTTGTGCTTGGAGGGCAGAGTCCAGTGGTCCTTACTGGGCACGCAGACGCTTCTTGGGCTGACGACCAGGCTACGCAGCGGTCGTCACAGGGTTACACCTTCAGCCTTGGTTCCGGCTCTGTTTCGTGGCGGGCTACTCGCTCGTCTTCTGTTCTCGGCTCCAGTTGTGAGGCTGAGATCTACGCAGGAGCCATGGCTGCACAGGAGCTTCGCTGGCTCACCTACCTGCTGACTGACCTCGGAGAGTTGCCTCGTTCTCCTCCAGTGCTGTACGTAGACAACAAGGCCATGCTGGCCTTGTGTCGGGAGCAGCGACTGGAGCACAGAACGAAGCACATTGCTCTCCGCTACTTTCTTGCTCGTGAGCTGCAGCAGCGTGGTCAGCTGCGTCTTGCGTACGTGGCCTCTGAGGCCAACACTGCTGATATCTTCACCAAGGCACTTGCGCCTTGTGACCATCAGCGCTTCTGTACTCAGCTGGGCCTTGTGCCTACCTTGCCTCACTTGCTCACCTCTTGACCTTGCTTGTACTGTTACATATATATATACCTGCTCTTGCTTGTCTAGCCTTTTTTATATATATGTGTACTCCTGCTTGTGAACTGGCCTTGTGGCCTTGAACTTGTGCTCGGAATGTGTGGTGACTTTGTGATCCACCCTGAGCTTGCTTTGCTTTGCTTTGCTTGACTGGTCTTGTGACCCCTTGTTCTCCCCCACTTTGCCTATGGGGGTGTGTCAGATTTGTATGACATAGCTACTGTAGGCTATAGTGGGGTAGCACATATGGGGTACAGTTTTCTAGGGTTTGCTTCTTGTACCCAACTTTCACTTAGTCATTCTCATTTTCCTCGTTTCTTCTCAGGCGTGGCGCTAGGGGGGTGCTATGGAAGTGGAGCTAGGGGTGCAGTAGGGGGTGTGTGAAAGGGGTGTGGGGCAGTTGGCGGAGGTTGCGCGGAGGTAGCAGTTGTGTCGCCAGCAGCACCAGTAGTCCGGAGGCTACAATCTCCGGTAGTCGCCAGTCGCCCGTGGGTCAGTTGCTCCAGCCGCTCGGCGTAGCCGCGGAGCCAGTTACTCCTGTAGTCCGGGCCATTGCTTCGATAGCCACGGAGCCAGCCGCTCCTGTGTGTCTGCAGCTTCCGCCGTCGCCTCCCATCTCCTCTGACAGTCCCTCCTCCTCCTCACTTGTCCTCTGTGACTACCTCTAGCTTTACTTGTGCTTGTGAACTATTTTATGACTGCATGCTGTGCTGATTATACCCCACTGTGCCTATGGGGGTGTGTCAGAATGTGTTATTTGTCTAGTCTGCAGTGGGGTACTCTATAGTGAGTACAGCTCGATTAGGGTTTGCTATATGTACTGCCCTGCTTACTAGTGCAATCACTCTTTCGTGTTCTAACTTTCTGCCTACTATCTCTGACACGTGGATGTGTTGGAAGTGTCGCGATTGGTGCGGGGCGACTCGGGAGTGGTTCGGGCCGAAGTGTAGGCCGAACCTCGAAACTGACGCGAAGTGCTCGGGGTTGTCCTCGCTAGGAGCAGCCTCTATAGTAATGAATTCGTATTCATTATAGTTACCATTCCCATTATCCCTTGAACTATTGCCCCTGTTTGGCGAAACGAGGCGATTACAAAAATCAAAGTCTGGCATGGTTACAAAGCTTTTTCGTGCAGCTTCTCCAGTCTTCGCACATGCGCGGGTGGGATGCAATAACCGTTTCCGCGAGCATCCACGGAACACCAAGGGACTTCCAATCCCAGCCACGATTATTAGGATTGAGAAGACACAGGCTTGCTGTTTCTCCCTCGTCAATCCTCTTGCGTTAGTGGTTAGGCGACAACTGCTAGGTAATACCGACAAGCTCTTGCCTGCTGCGATTCGCCGTACTGGCTTGTAGTTTGTGGGTAGACAGGTTCTCTGGTTCCAAGCGATGGTGTTGGGCGCGACGCGGCTGCTGCGTGTCGTTAGACACAAGGAATGTCTTTTAACCGTCTCTGCAGCTCTGTTTTCAAATACCTGGCGCGAATTTCTGGTACGGGGACGAGGAATCCTTACAGAGACATGAAGATTCAAGAACGGGGGGGTCGATGGAACGTTGATTTGTGAGGTAGTTAGCGCTGTCGTTATTTAACCACCAGCAAACGCGAATCTCGTTTCATGGATACATCCGGTCGAGCCGCTCGAGAGATATCCGTTGGTCTCGGTGTTACCCTCCGACTCAGTGCTTTTCTGCGACGCCTGGCTTGTCGCGCAAGTCGCATGAACCGCGCTGCACCGACTAGACATGCGGGCAATGGGAGTCGTCTCGTGATGGCGATGACTCGGCGTCAGTTTTATGGGCTCAGCGACGAAAGCGGCATTCGCAACGACGACGGTTACGATGCATCTTTCCATCGCCTGATTCGCCTCGCGTCCCGCTGACGCCTCGCCTCCTCCAACGGGTCGCTTCCAGCAGCCTTGCCTCCACTTCGCCCACTCAACGAGACGTTAATCCTTAACCACCTCGTCACCAAAGCGCCTCTCACCTCCGCCTATAAAGCCGGCGCCATGAGCAGCAATGGAATCATCAGCTCCAATCCGCTTCTCCCTTCAATCTCTTCCTCAAGCACCCGTTCGCAGCAGCCTGTGCAGCAGCCTTCCAGCTCTCTCCAGCTCCTGTGCAAGCCAGTCACCTCTTTCACCCGAATTCTGAGTCAACTCAGAAGCAACTACTGTGCGAGCCCTGATGGCGACGGCTGGCATGCGCGTGCTGGTGCTGGCAGCGCTGGCAGTGGGGCTGCTGGCGGCGGCGGTGAGTGGAGCGCGCGACGCCATGAAGGTAGCCAGGGGCCTGGTCCCCACGGACGGTGGGGGCGGTGGGGTGGCTGGTGGGGCGGCGGCGGGGCAGCAGAGGAAGGGCGCGCGCATTCTGGCGGCTGAGACCTTTGCTCACCACGCCCCTCTGCCCGACTACCTCGACCACATCCCCCGCCGCCAGGCCCTCGCCACCTGTACGTGCTGCTACCCCTCCTCTCCCTCTCTTCCCTGCCTTGGTTCCTTAGGGCTGGTGTTCCTTTCTTCTCACAGAGCGTTCCTGCTCCCCTTCCCTCTCATTTCTCTGCTCCCCTTCCCTCTCATTTCTCTTCTCCCCTTGGCTCTCATTTCTCTGCTCCCCTTTCGTCTAATCTGCTGCTCCCCTTGGCTCTCATTTCTCTGCTCCCCTTGGCTCTCATTTCTCTGCTCCCCTTTCGTCTCATCTGCTGCTCCCCTTGGCTCTCATTTCTCTGCTCCCCTTGGCTCTCATTTCTCTGCTCCCCTTTCGTCTCATCTGCTGCTCCCCTTGGCTCTCATTTCTCTGCTCCCCATACCTCTCATTCCGGTGCTCCCCTTGGCTCTCATTTCTCTGCTCCCCCTCTCTCGTGAAATACAGCATGGCGATGCATAATGACAATTCTTTTCTGTTCCTTTCTCCCCCTCCCCCCACCCCCCACCCTACCTATTCTCCAGCGTGTGGGCGCACGACGGTGACGATCCGCTCGCAGTACCGTACGACCTGCACAACGACATCTACAACATGACCTTCTACAACGGCTGCGCCTACAACGTCACCAGCCCGCTGCGCGTGTGGCAGTGCTTCAACTTCTACAACATTTGGGAGGGCGTCCTCGACAACCCCGCACCCAACCCCACGCAGTACCAGCAAGGCGAAATCTTCGTGCAGACGCTGCCGGGGTACTGTGAGATGCGCATGAACCGCGGTGCTAGCGGCACGCTTCAGATGCTTCCCGGGGAGACGGTGAACATTGTGTATGCGCATTTGTGGGACTTCCGGCCCTGCGTGCAGGAGCTGCGGTTCGGCAACGGCAACAGCTACTCCATGACCAACACCACCGAGTGCCAGCTCGCCAAGGTCATTTAGACTACGCCCCTCGTACTGTACCTGAATAATGTTTGTGATGATTGTTTATGTGGTGTAGTTGGTGGAGGGAGGCGGTAATGGGGAAAGTAGGCAATAATAATGCATGTACTGGTCACATAACATGTATCATCAATGTTTTCTCCCAACTCTATCCCCATCTGTATCAAACTGGACCCGACGCCGATATCGGCTGGGCAGTGCTGATGCACGAGGACTATGCGAACGCGCCGACCAACACTCGGACTTCAGAACATGACCCCTCAGAGTGCCTTTTTTCTGGCCCAAGTGCCTTGGGGGGTGGGAATCAGAGTGCCTTAATACCGTGATTGAAACGTCAGCCCTGACCAGAATGCGAGCTGGACAAACCACACAGGTGTGTGCAGTCATGATGATCACACTTAGGAGGAATTGGACAGGCATGACAACAGTCGGAGAGGGTATCTGCATGCAATGCAATGCAAGAATTCGCTGCTGCTGCCAATTGTGCGAGCCATGCCTAACAAAGGCTACTGCGGCCATAGCAGCCGACTTGGCCTCACAAGCACCACTCCTTCCTCCGACCCGTCCATCCTCTTTCCCTCTGTTACGGTTTCCTACCTCCCTCCTCACTCCTCATTCCCTCCACCTCTTTAGTCCCCTCACCCATCCACTCTGTGTGGCCAACCTTGCTCCGCTCCGCTCTCCCTGCCTACCCCTCCTTGCTTACCCTTAGCTTCCTGTGTCTCACAAACCCCCAACAGCTGCATGCTTGCGACTTGATTCACCGCCCACATCCCACCTGCACCTCCTATCATCCGATTACCCGCCTGAGCCTGCTACCACCCGACCTGCCTCCACAGCACGAATCTCCACCCCCCACGCCCCCACACAAGTCTAACCCTCTGCATCCGCCCTGTGCTCATGTGCCTTAAGCCACCCCACTCCTTCCCGACCCCAATGTCGCCCCCCCCTTCACACTAGTCCCCAGCACCATTAGCGGCAGCAGCAGCAGCAGCAGCATTGGTGGTGGCATCAACAGCAGCAGCGGTGGTGGCATCAGCAGCAGCAGTGGTCGTGGCATCAGCAGCAGCAGTTGTTGTGGCATCAGCAGCAGCATTGGTGGTGGCATCAGCAGCAGCAGTGGTGGTGACGACAGCAGCAGCAGTGGTGGTGGCATCAGCAGGAGGAGCATGAGTGTGGACGGTATCAGCATCAGCGCTGGCAGCGTCAGTAGCATCATCAACAGCAGCCGCCACAGCAGAATCGCCAGCAACAGCCGCAGCAGCAGCAGCAGCAGCAGCAGCATCATTCGTAACAGCAGCAGAAGCACTGAGAGCATCACCTTGGAGGGCTGCAGCCGATTCAGAGTGCGCATCACACGTGCCACTGCCACCTGCCACCCCACATGTGCCCTGCTCGCCCTCCTCTCTGCCCACTCCCTCTCTGCCCACTCCCTCTCTGCCCACCTCCTCAAACCCACCATCTCCCTCCAATCCCCCACTCGCCCTCTCCCTTCCCCCACCCTCTGCAGTCTCCTCCCCTCCGCCGCCACTCACAGGCGCAGCAGCAGGTGAATCCCCAACAGGTGAATCCCCAGCAGGTGAATCCCCAGCAGGTGAATCCCCAGCAGGTGAATCTCCAACATCAGGATACCCGTAGTAGGCAGCACGGTGGGTGGCAGGGGGAGGCGGATGAGCAAGAGGAGGTGCTTCAGGCATGGGGACTTGGCGACTAACGGCTGATTCACCACCGGCTGTGTCGGATGCACTGCCCTCACTAGATTCACCTGCACCTGCCAATCCATCTTCTCCTCCTCTTACTCTTGTGTTACCTCCTGCGTCCTCCTCTCCACTTCCTCTGCCTCCTCGCTCCTCCCTTGCTCCTGCTCCTGCTCCTGCTACTACTCCCTCTCTTGACTCTTTACCTCCTCGTTCCCCTCCACTCCCTGCTCCTCCTGCTCCCCCTCTTTGCCTTCCTCTTTCCCCACCCCTCACCTTCCCTCGTGCAGCCGCCCTCTGCTTACCACCCATCTTCCCTTTCCCCGTCGGCTCTTTCCCCGCTGTCCCTCGCCGCACCCTTCTCGCCGCTGATCCTTCTCTCCGTGCCCCTTCTCTCATCCCTTCTCTCGCTGCTCCTCTTACTGCAGGCACTGTCTCTGCTTCACCTGCCTCTGCTTGCCCTGCCCCTGCTCTAGCTGACCCTGCTTCTTCCTGCCCACCTCCACCTCCCTCCCCTCCTCCTCCCCCCACCCCTTCTGAACCACCCTCTGCACGCCCCCCTTCTATTCCCCGCCGCTCTCTTTCCTCCCCCATGCTTGATGGCAACAATTCTCCTGGCCCACCAACGTTTTTTTCATCCTGCTGTTCTTGTTGCTGTTGCCGGCTTGGTGTGTCCGGCGTCTCAAAAGGCGTGTGCGGTTGAGATGGGTTTAGAGAGGGGAGAGAGTTGGCGGATGAGGGAGAAGGGGAGGGGAAAGATGGGGGGGACGAAGAGGAGGGAAGAGTGGTGGCAGTGGTGGGTGGGGAAGGGGGGGAAGGGGGGAAAGGGGAGGGCATGGGAGAGGGGGCGGAGGGAGGAAGAGGAGGCAGGGGAGGCGATGGGGGTGAAAGGAGGGGTTGGAGTGTGTGGTGGAGGGAGGAGAGGGAGGAGGATGCGAGAGTGAGAGAGGAGGAGGAGAGAGAGGCGAGGGTGGGGAGGAAGGAGGATGCGAGAGCGGTGAGGAGGGATGAGACGAGGGAGAGTAAGGGGGAGAGGAAAGCGTGAGTGGTGGAGAGGAGGATGGAGGTGGAGGAGAGGAGGAGGGAGTTGAGGAGGGGAACACGAGAGATGACGATGAAGGAGCAGACGAGGAAGAAGAAGAGGGACCCGAGGATGATGATGAGCCTGGGGGGACAGCAGAAAAGAAGGGGGGAAAGAGAGGAGAGAGACGACTCATGAGGAGAAAGGAGACCACAAAAAGGGGGGGAAATCCAATGGCTCAGCGAATCTGCGAATTGATCGAGTGAAGAACACAACTCATGTATAAGACGCAGGCGGGAGGTGAGGTCTACACAGGCGGAGGTGACGTCAATACAGGCGGGAGGTAGGGACGAGAAGAGGCAAGGCTGTCACAGGAGAGGCACGCGGGACAACAACACATGGGAAGAGACGATGAAGTGGCGTGAGAACGAACGGGAGCACACGATGAGTGAGCCAGTGCAACAATTGTTGTGCTCCCATCACCTCACCCCCCCCCCCCCCCAACCCCCAATTTTTTTTTGCGACGTCTCAACACCCTCCCCTCAAAGCTCCTTTTCCCATGCCCAAATCCTTCTCTGCCCTCTGCCCTCTGCCCCTGCCTCTGCCTCTGCCCCTGCCCCTGCCTCTGCCTCTGCCCCTGCCCTCTGCCCCTGCCTGCCGCTGCCTCTTTTGTTGCAACGATTGCCAGCAGCTGTGAGAAGGCAGGAATCCCCACCCCACACTCTCCTTTGCCCGTCACTGTGCGAGGGCGGCACTGATGACACCCGCCCACCACTCTTCCCCCATGCCCCTCTCTCTCCACTCCCCCCATCCATCTCTCCCCTCACAGCTCCCCTCCCGCATCACCCCACAGCAACACAGACGGCGCTTGGTGCAAGGGAAGGGACGGGTCAGTGTGACCCCGTGGATCCACTGTGCTGCCCCGCTCTCTCCACCTCACTTGTCCGTCACCTCGCCCCCCCACCACACACCCAGCAGCCGGTGAGCAGAAAAGAGGTGGGAGTCGTTCTCATCCGACCTCTTACACCCTCCTTTACCTTCCCCGGGTCCCACCATCCTGCCCTCTCCACCTCAATTATCCGTCACATCGCCCCCCCACCACATCGCCTCCCCATCACAGAGCCAGCGTCATGACTCGTGGGGGGGCGGGAGCATTGCAGGGAATACTGTGTATAGCACACCCACCCACCCACACCCACCCATCTACCCACTTAACCAGACCCACCACCCACCCAACACAACCCCTATACCATTATTCACCTCTGCTCACTCCCCCCCATCCCCCTCACCATCTCAAATGTCCGTCACGTCCCCTCGCTGCAGCAGCGCCAGCAGCTGGTGAGACATGGAGAGACGGGAGCATTGTACGGAGCAGTGCAAAACACCACCCAAACGCACTCACTGCTCTCCCCTATACTACTGTACGCCTCTTCCCCCTATTCCTCTCCACCTCACCTGTCCGCCACGTCCCCTCGCTGCAGCAGTGCCAGCAGCTGGTGGGCTGTGGAGAGGCGGGAGTGCTGCAGGGAGTACTGCGATCCTGCTGACATCAGCACTGCGGCTGACGTGTCTGCATTGGACAGTGGGTGGGGTCAGACGAAGGGAGGGAAAGAAGGGAGGAAGGCGGGCTGTTGGTTGGAAGGCAGGAGTATTGGAGGCGGTGCTGTGTGGTGCTGGGAGGTGCTGGGGGGTGCTGTGAGGCGGTGAGAAGGTCACAGCAGCTGACGCGTGTGTCTTGGTTGAAAGCACGGCTGGGAGAGGAAGAAAGAAAGTGTGTAAAGGGTTACTCTAAAAGAGATGGCACATGAGAGAAAGGAGCAGATATGAAAGGTAGGGCCGGCAGATATTAGACGCGGCAGAAATGCATTCAAACAAGCAGTGACATGAGAAGAATGGAGGGAGAGGGATGCAGGAGGCAGTGTGGATGGGTGAGCAGTGCCCATCCAAAGGAGCTGATACCAGGGCACATCAACTCACCGAGTTCCTCCAATGTGTGCACACCACGTTGCACCTCCTGCCATGACATGGATTGCAATATCAAGCCATGCCATGCCATGCCATGCCATGAGATGCCATGCCGTCATCATGGTCAAGAGAGGGGAAACGAGGAGAGCATTGGATAAAGAGGTGGTGCGATGAGGAGGAGAGTGCAGTGAAGAAGAGAATGCGGTGTGGAGAATAATGGACCAGATGATGACAAATCTACCTTGTCATTCCAACCGATCCATGCCACATCATCGTCCCACTGCTCCTGCTACGTCATTATCTCACCCATTCCCATCCACGCCTATCATTCTATCCCACCTGTTCCTGCCACGTCCCACCTGTTCCTGCCATGTCCCACCTGTTCCTGCCATGTCCCACCTGTTCTTGCCATGTCCCACCTGTTCCTGCCACGACACCATCCCACCTGTTCCTGCCACGTCAGCATCCCACATATTCCTGCCATGTCATCATCCCACATGTTCCTGCCGCCACGTCACCATCCTACCTGTTCCTGCCACGTCATCAACGTACCTGTTCCATGACGTGTCGTGTTCGTCGGAGCGTGGAAGTGACCTCCTCAGCTGCTGCTGCCATCTGTGCTGCTGATCTGATTCAATATGTAATAAAAGCACATGTGATACAAGCACGTGCGATACAAGCACATGCAATACAAGCACATGCAAGAAAAGCACACATGGAACAAGGACGCAAGATGAAAGCACGAACGGCAGAGCAGACAAGAATGCATCTTCCTGTGATTCTCCAGATTGATGTGGAGGCAGAGACACAGTGGCACACATGTGAGGCATGCCGGTGCGCAGAGAAAATGGGAGGCAATGAGAGCATACGAGAGGGTAGGACAGGCGGAGTACGAGAGATTATGAGAGAGTATGAGAAGGTATGAGATGGTATGAGAAGGTATGAGAGGGGGTATGAGAGGGTATCAGATGGTATGAGAGGGTATCAGATGGTATGAGAGGGTATGAGCGGGTATCAGACGGTATGAGAGGGTATGAGATTGTATGAGATGGTATATATATTTGAGCATGAAAGAGTATGAGAGGGTATGAGAGGGAATAGGAAGTTATGAGAGGGTACGCACTCTAGTTTTCTTCGCCGCAACGATGCCTCTCGTCCTGCCCCTAGCAGCTCCTCTCTCTGTTGCCACATGTGCACATGAACAGCACATGGACAGCACATGGACAAGAGGAGGATGCGATGACACATGTGCACCAGCACATCACGACCAACCACACATGCACTCATGCCCACTTCACATGTCAACCAACGCCTCCACCCACCACACAGCCAGCCTTCTCATTCACCCCCAGATCCCGAAATATAATTCATGTGCTTGCACACACACAGGCAACCATTCCATGAAAGCAGAATGAAAAGCGTGGGAAGAAGAAGTGGTGATGTGCCACGAAAGGTCCTTTTCAGCTAGAGGGAAACACATCGCAGCCAGAGGGTTCGTTCTGTGTCGCCATCTTTGCCATACCTGCCCCAAACACTAATTCGATCGCCACATAACTTATGACGAGCTGTCATGGCAGCTTTCCTTCACTTGCGGCTCCCGCTCTCACTCACCCGCATCCCACCCACCCCTGACTCCCCGCCTCCTCCAATGAGATGAGCCATTCGTTTAAAGGACCAACGGGATGAAGCGGCCTTATCTCAAAACGAGTACAGACTCAGGAACCCCAACCCCCACCCTCCCTCGTGCAACCCTTAACCCATCCCCCTTCCCCCCTCCCCCACCACACCCCACTCATGATATCAGCCCCATCTCCTTGTGTGCTTGCCGCGTGAGATTGTGCTGAGCCGTCATGGTGGCATGGCGCAACCGCTGCCGCAGTCTGGTTGGACATTCGACGGAAATAAAAGGGTTCGGTTGGGCAGGGTGCAACAGAGAGGGGATACTGGCAAGGCAGCGAGAACGTGTGGAGAACTAGTGTGGGAAGTGGCAGAGAGAGTGTGATTCTGTGTGGTAGTGGTGCGAGGAAGAGAGCGAGGAGGAGCAAGGAATCGAGAGAGGGGGAGCGAGAAACACGGACAGCTTGAAAGGAAGCACCAATGAGCAGTGCGATGGGGCAAGGAAACGCAAACACAGAAAAGGAAAACAGCGCCACGGGAGCATGGAAGCGGGTGGCGCACGGAAGGACGAGGGAGCGAGGGGTTGAAGGAAGGGAGGGAAGGAGGGCAAGAGGGAGGGAGGGCGGGAGGGAGGGAGGGAGGGAGTGAGGAAGGTGGAGCAGGGACGGATGAAGGAGAGAGGGGGGAAGGGAGGGAGGTGGAGCACTGGTGGTTACTCTGGATGCGCCTGGTGCAGCTGCTGCAGGGCCGCCTGCACCTGCTGCCACACGGGGACTCTGAGGGAAAGGGGAAGGCGGGGGTGGGGGTTGTGGGGGAGGAAGGGGAGGTGGGTGGGGGTGGGGAGGGTTTGGGGAAGAGGGAATGGAATGGCAAAGAAAAGGCAGGAGGGAAGTTGGGGAACGACCAGGAGAAGAAAGATTCTCTCGAGGTTATCCAGCGTCTGCGCGTGCGCCTTGAGCAGCTGCCACAGACCCCCACTTGAGTTGCTGCCACACGGGCTCAGGGAAGAGAGAGGGGCAATGAAAGAGAGGAGGGAAGGAGGAGTGAAAGAAACACTCGTTCGCCCTGGCTGAGCACGGCTCAGCTGCTGCAGGAGCGACTCACCGGATGCTGCAGGCAGGGCCTACAGGGGTGCAAGTGGCGGTCGGAATCTGGAAGGAGGGTGTGGTGAGGTGGAGGGGGGTGAGGGGGAGGGGAATGGAACACAAGAGAGGAGATAGGAAGGGGTGGAGGAGGAGCAGCAGAAGGAGGAGGAAGCTGGGAGAGGGCGTGAGGAAGCCGTACAGGCATTGGCAGGCAGGCTAACAACGGATTCTCAGCCTTTTGAGCGGTCAGCTGACACCAGCGTAGTGAGGCAGAAGGGGAGCAGCAACAAATGAATTTCTGTTTTCTTGATGATGTTGAGAATTAGAATGGGCAGAGTGGTAGGGATAGTGGTGGCGGAATTGGGGGGGGGAGAAGGGGAGGGGGACGGGGATGGGGAGGGGGAGTGGTAGGAGGAGGGGGTTGGGGGAGGGGGAGAAGCGGAGATGGAAAGGGGGGTGGGTGGCAGGTGCCTTCGGGGCGCCGGTAATGGCAGGCCCTACCCGTTCACTCTTTGAAGGCAGCCTTGCCCACCCGTGCGCCCCTCTCGCTCCCCCTATTCTACCGAGGTCTAGAGCGCGACATCTGCACCCCCCTTCCCTCCCGTCCACCCGTCCTTCCTGTCACCTCCTCCCCATCTCCTCCCCCATCAATCGATACTCTCTCTACCCTCGCTCACCGATCGCGCTCGTCCCCCGCCTACCTCTGCGCAAAGCTTTCGCTTCCGCCTCCGCCGCCCTCCTCGCGGGCCCCAACCGCGCACTCATTGCCCTCCGCCATCTCTTCCGCCAGTGACCGCAACTCCCGCTCCACGCCCCCAAGCGCCGCCAGCGCGTTCTGCGCGCCCGCCGTCAGCGCGGGGAGCTGCGCGCGCGTGGGCCCCCCGCGGGTGCCGCAGGCGGCGATGGATGTAATGTGTTCGTCCGCGCGCGCTAGCAGCGCCTCCATTGCGCCGATCTGGTGCAAGGCTTCCGCCTCCGGCGTGTTCGGCTCGCCGTGGGCCAGCGCCGCGGAGGCGGCAGCGACAGCCATCGGCGGGGATGGCGCGGGCAGACGCGATAAGGGTCGAGTGTAGCGCTAAACTGGAATTCGAAGTTGAAAACGGCTATCTGCGGGTGATTGAAATCAGCTCGGAAAAGGTGGGCTGGCTGAAAAATGTTGGCCGTCCAGATTGGGGGAGCCCAAGAGTAATCACACATCTGTTAATTAAGGGACACAAGGGCGTGTCGAGGCAAACCCCTCTATGTGACCGAGCTTCGATCACGCCCTGCGAATCTAGTTTGGCGAACAAATCATCACAGATTTCTGCACGGCGTCCCTCGAATCTCTACACCGAATAGGCTTCCAGCAGCAAAATTTAAAACGTGTATGCGGTCCGGGCCTGCGGTCATCGCGCTCGCCTTCAAAACCAACACTGGTTTTCCCAACCTCGGTACAAGAAACTCAAAGGCGCATCATGTTTTGGACCACATATACCTCGCCCTATAGTCCAGAAGTTTATATGCTCTATACTGCATGGTGAATTACAAGTTCACTTAACTGAATTGAGGGTTTAAATGCTGTATAGCAACCATATACATTTTTTTTCACTTTTTGGTATGGGCACCGATTAAGGATGTTTGCGCACAATGCAAGGGACGCTATCACATCATCTTCCTGAGAACCCCAGCAACAATAAATGATACTGCAAGGCAAACAAGTTTGCCGAGCACACGATTAGTCTCTGATCAGTCATCTGATCAGTCATCTTCCATGCCACCAACCAGCATGAAACTGGTACTATATTTAAAGCCAGCTTTCCTAAACAACACTCTGGGTCACCGTCAGCTGAATCAGGCTCTCTGGAAATGTTTCCAGGTGGAGGCAACCAGCGGACTCAAGGCTTATCCATCAGCAGCACGAAATTGGCAGGAAGGGGTGTGCCTGGGGCATCATTGAGTATTAGATGCTGCAGGCATGCGAGCTGGGAGAGAAGAGTCCCTGGGCGGTGCTGCAAGGCATTGCAGCAAATCAGCTCCAGCCTGCGAAGCCGTGACAGGGAGCTCATGCCTCGAGGCAGCGCCGTCAGCTGAGGTGCTTCAACAGTGAGTGACGTCAACGAACAGAGCTTCACTATGCTTCCTGGAAGCTTCACCGCTGACCAAGAAAGAAGCTCAAACTGCCGTAGCTGCGGCATCGCTGCCCCCATGTTTTCTGGGAGGCTGCACACTCCAGGCGCCTCTATCAGCAAGCTGCGCAGGCGAGGGAGAAAAGTCAAGGGGATTGGTAGTTCCTGTTTTTCACTTCCCAACCGCAACTCCAGCTTCTCCAGCTTATGCAGCTGCCCCCCCTGCTGCCCCTGCCCCCCCTTGCTGCCCCTGCCCCCCCTGCCCCCCCTGCCCGCCCTGCTCCCCCTGCTCCCCCTTGCTGCCCCTGCCCCCCCTTGCTGCCCCTGCTCCCCCTGCCCCCCCTGCCCCCCCTGCTCCCCCTGCCCCCCCTGCTCCCCCTGCCCCCCCTGCTCCCCCTGCCCCCCCTGCCCCCCCTGCTCCCCCTGCCCCCCCTGCTCCCCCTGCCCCCCCTGCCCCCCCTGCTCCCCCTGCCCCCCCTTCTCCCCCTGCCCCCCCTGCCCCCCCCTGCTCCCCCTGCCCCCCCTGCCCCCCCTGCTCCCCCTGCCCCCCCTGCTCCCCCTGCTCCCGGCATAACAACCTGCAGCGCACGGCAGGACCGCAGCGCACCCCAACGCGGTTCAAGTGGAGCACCCTCAGCTGCGACAACCCAGAGATACCCACCACATGGGAAGAACCTTCCACGAAGGGCCCCAAACAGAGGGATTCAAGAGAGGGTGGCAGACCAGCAGGGGGGCTACTCAACTCCTTACACTCCGTCAGCACCAGCCTCTTCAGCCCCACGAGCATATCCAGCCGAGAGGGCACTTCTGAGAGCGCCTGGCAGCCCCTCACCTCCAAGCTCTGCAGTCCTGTGAGCCGTGTCAGTGAGGTAGGAAGCGTGCTAATGGGAAGACCAATGATTTTCAGCTCCCGCAGCCTGCTCAGCGCGCCCAGGGCTGGCAGCTCGCCTCCAAATCATGCGCTCAGCTCAAGGCTCGTGAGGGAGGAGAGATTGGTGAAGGAACGTGGGAGGGGCTGGTGCTGGCAGTTGTGCAACCGGAGAGACTCTAGCCTTGCAAGGGCCCCAACGTCCTCTGGCAACGCAAGGCCCTCTGATCTTGAGAAGCAGAGCGCCTTGAGGGTTGTCAAGCGGCAGAACCCAGCCGGCAGATTTAGAAGCGGGTGGCAATCAACTAAAAAGAGTGCCTCCAGAGATGTGAGATGGCAGAAGGAAGGAGGAAGTTCAGTGAATGGCAAGCTTTCCAGCACCAGTGATATGAGCGCAGGCAGGTCGCCAAAGTTGGAGGGTAAGGTGAAGTCATCACAACTCGAGACAATGAGCTCCTCTAAATGGCTCAGACAAGTGAAGCTTTCAGGCAGGTGAGTGAAATAGTAGCACTCGCGGATGGTCAGCTTGCGAAGGCATGGCAGTAGGTCTCCTATGCGATCGGGAAGGGTCTCTAGTTCACTGCACTTGGTGACCCGCAGCTCCTCTAGCCCGGTGAACGGCGATGCTGATGGGAAGATGGTGTCCAAATCGGGACAAGACAGCATGAAATTGAGCAATTTCAGGCAGGGTGGAAGAGTCATGCTTGCAGCACCCGCGGGCAGATGGTTTTCGTGAGGCGCGAAGGTGAACAGATGGGTGAGTCGTGGGAGGCGAAGGAGGGTGGACAGGTGGTGATGGTTCCAGGGGAAGGTGATGTACAGGGTGGTCAGGGCCGTGAGGCTTGCGAAACCGGGATTTCTAAGGGTTGAAGCGTTGGTGAGAACAAAGGTGTGCAGATGCTTCAAGCGAAAAAGGGAATCTGGTAGCTCTGTTTCAGGGCGAAGGCTGAAAATAGTAACCTGCTCCAACCTGGGGAGTCCTTGAAAGAACCGATCCAAGCCGCCTGTACTGATTCGATGCTCCTCCTTCCATCGATAGTGCTTCACAAGGTAGCCACGGTCGTCAGGCATCCGCCAGGTTCTTCCCACGTGGAGAGCCGTCAGCTTGGGGCATGACGAGGCGAGGTGAGCGAGGAAGGCGTCGTCGAGCGACTTGACGCTGCTGTCGCCCAGATGGAGATGGGTGAGCCTTGGGAAGCATGTGACGGCGGCTGAGAGGGTTTCCAAGGACACCAAGAGGGCTGGTTTCACAGAGAGCGTGGTGACGTGGAGCTTTGCAAGGCGACGCCAACGACGGCAGACGGACGCGAGGAAGAGAGTTTGAGAGGCGTCTGCGAGGGGAGGAGGGGATGCTATCGGTGTGTTGACTATCGCATCGGCTTGCTCCGTGCAATTACTCATGGATGACCATTCATAGCTGGAGGTCCATAGACTGTCAGTGTGGGACTTGCATGAAGCGAGCTGCTGGAAGGACCGCCTCAGGATGGCAAGGAGGAGGTCGTCCGGCAGGCTACTCATGCTCGTGCTTGCCTCCATCTTGGGATCTATATGAGAGGCGGCCAAACCTGCAGATGGTGTGCTAAGGAACGGCTCGTGGCGTTACAAAGAAAGCAGTGACAGTGGGGAAATAACTCTTGCAGGATACTAACGAGGTGCGCAACGGTGCAGGAGTGCATTAGAAGTAGCACATTCCGTGTGCGATGTGCGCTTCAGTGGAGAAATGAGAGCCGATGAGAGCAAAGGCGAGACAAGGCAATGCAAGGATGGCGTGTTCGAGATTATAGCGGACGTCCCAGAAAAGCCTCTGCGTGTGACAAGCATGCGGAAGCGACGCAGGTGAACCTGCGTGCGGCATCTACGATCCAGGCGAAACTGAGTTTCCCTAACCAAGGCTGTCTCTAGTTCCCTGACAGACCATGGATTTTGCATGCAGGCATCACTCACTCCCCCGGTGCAATTCCAAGGTCGTAGTGACTATGATGATCGAAGCTAAGGCTACGGGAGCGGCTCGATGAGACACAGGAACAGCAAGCTTTCGTTCCTAGACTTGCGCTCAAGCAAATGTTACAACACCTCACAAGAATCGAAACTCCTTCGAGCTACGGCGTGATACAAGGGGGTCTCGAAGGGCTCAACATTTCAGACATTCGCAGGTGGAATACATTCTGTTTCAAGCAATGCAGGGGCACAACGCGTTTGTAGTGCGTCGCGAATTTTCTACGTTTGCCGAAATTCACAAGTTTGAAAGAGTGATGCTGGCGGGAGTGGATTTCGGCTGGGGGGGTTATTGTCACTTTTGAGTCCAAACGAAATGCTTGATTGTAACATTTTCAGCTTCATCTTTCGCAGTGCGTTAAAATTATCAGTTTTTTCAGTCTTGGCAGAACGACCACGCCTTTGTCCCAACTGAAATTCATAACACGCCCTCATGGACCACCCCATCCCAATAGAGGACAAGGAAAGGGCGAGATCGTGGCCCGAGTAGCAGCGAGTATCGTGACGAGCAGAGGCAAGAACCGAGAAGAAGAAACGTATTACGGGAGCTGAATAATACAAGAGGGGGGGAACGCTACCTCAAGTATAGCAAAGAGAGGAGAGGTCGTGGCGTTACTATCCGCACACTTTGTGAGTCATGGCGAGTGTATGCCACGTACATTCCGTACTAAAGGTATTCTCCGTACTCGACGAACGTCATGCATTAGGGTTCGGACAAAACGGCTTTTGAAGCGACGGGACGAGAAGGGACGGGGCGGGAAGGGACGAGGCGGGAAGGGACGGGGCGGGGAGGGACGGGGCGGGAAGGGACGGGACGGGAAGGGACGAGGGGGGAAGGGACGAGGCGGGAAGGGACGAGGCGGGAGGGGAATTCCCCTCCTTCAGGAGTTGGACGGGGCAAAAGAGGAGTTTAGGACGAGACGGGATCGATCTGGACAGAACGGGATGGGAGATCGAAACGGGATCGGAGAGGAGGGGACGAGACGAGATGGGTCGGGACGGGAGGGGATGAGAGGGGACGGGAGGGGATGAGAGGGAACGGGACGGGGCAGGACGGGTCGAGTCGGGACTGTTTGGACGAAACGGGGCGAGAGTGGAGTGGCCAGGACGGGAAGGAGCGGGAAAGGGGGGCAAGGGGAGGGAAGGGGGGGGGATGGGGTTGAAGGGAGGGGAAGGGGGGGGAAGGGGGGGAAAGGGGGGGGAAAGGGGGAAGGGGGGAAGGGGTCGGGAAGGGGGGGAAAGGGGGCAGGAAGGGGGCGGGAAGGGGACGGGAAAGAGAAGGATGGGAAGGATAGGGACGGGACAGAAAGAGTTGTGGGTAAGGGAGGGTTGGAAAGGGGAATTCAGGACAGGGCAGGGGAGGGGAAGGGAGGGAATGGGAGGACAGGGGAGTGCAGGGTGGGGGAGGGCAAGGTAGGTAGGGCAGGGGAGGGAAAAACAGGAGATGGCAAGGCAGGGGTGCAAGGCAGGGGAAGAGTTGGGCAGGGGAGGCCAGGGGAGGGCAAGGGAGGGCAAGGGAGGGGAGAGGAGTTAAGGGGAGGGGAGGGGAGGGGAGGGGAGGGGGAGGGGAGGGAACAAGGAGTGAGTTGCTAGAGTGAAGAGTGATGTCACTGCTGCCACAATCTGTGAGTGATTGCATCTTTCAGACAGCCCTTCAACCCAACCTTCCCTTCCCTCTCCTTGTTCATGTGTGGCAGGAACATCAGTAGCACAGTTGGAGAGAACATATCAACTCGCAGCTCCATTGACCCGCAGGGGTGTATTTTGCAGCCCCCAAGCCAAGTGTGTGGTGAGGGAAGTTGCAATGGACGTGGTGCTGTCATCGCGCGCCAAGCTCAAGCCGGCAGCCAAGGGCCCCGCCACAGACGGTGTGATCACCATGGTACGCTGCGCTGCAGACGGCGTTATCGCGCAGTGGTACGCGTGGTCGCTAGTTCGGCCGTTATCGCTGTAGCGCTCTGCGTCCTCCTCGCGCTCGCCCTCACCGCTCGGTGGGAGCGGGGTGCACGGCGGCCCGACAGCAGTCGACGTTTCGATGCGCCCAGAAAAGCAGGAAGAATGCATGAAAGCAGGAAGGCAGGAAAGCAACGAAGCAAGAAAGGAATGGCGGAGCAGAAACTCGTGGTTGCCAGGCTGTCCATCACGTGTGCATGTGCATGCCCGTGCATGCGTGTGCATGGATTTGTGTGCTGTGCAATCCTTTAGAAGTCACAGCATCTGTTTGCGTTTGTGTGCGGGCATGCCCACCCGTGTGCATGGATGTGTGTGCATGCATGTTCTTGTGTGTGGGGGCATGTGCTTATGTGTGCGCATATGCATGTGCATGCATGTATTGGCACATGCGTACAGGGCCCCACGTCCTTCTCCTGGGTGCCAGCCAACCCATCAGCAGCAGCAAGGCTCGACGTGCCTCTTGCTACCATCAAGTGTGAGCCTCTTCATGTGCCCCTTGCTTCCCACCATCCACTGAGCGCAGCGCATGCATACAGAGTGGCATGAGAGGAGCCACTTGCCTTGTTCTGCCTCCATTGCCCACCACACCTGTCGCCCTTCACTCTCTGTTCTGCTGCCGTTGCGCTTTCAGGCCCTCCCCTGTCTTCCTCGCACTGCCACGCTCATGCTGTGGACTCGCCCGTTGCTCCCTGTCCATGCTCACATGTGTGTAGCATGGCACGGCATGGCATGGCATGGCATGGCATGGCATGGCATGGCATGGCATGGGATGGGTGTGCAGCGCACAGGTGGAGCAAGGAAACGCCTTCAGCCACCACTGCACTGCTCAAGTTCAGCCCCCATGCCGACCCTGCTGTGCGTGCCGTGTGCCTCTCCCCCTCACCCCCTCACTTTCTCTCTCACCTCTCAACCTCTTCAACCCCTCAACCCCTCACGCCGTCACCCACTCACTCCCTCACACCCCTTCAGTCAACCCCTCGCTCCTGCAATCCCTCACACCCTCACGCCTCCATTCCGTCAGCCCCTCACAACCCCTAATCCGCCACCCCCTCACCTCCTCACCCCCTCATCTTTCCACCCCCTTACCCGCTCATTCTCTCATCCCCTCACTCCCTCGTACTCTCATCCCTTCCTCTTAAGTCATCCGCTTATGCGCCCGCATTCAGTACTAGTAACACCCATGTGATGTGAACCATGTTGTTAGGGAGCCGGCACCGCATGCATGCGTTGCCATGCCATGCCATGCCATGCGTTGCCATGCCATGCGTTGCCATGCCATGCCATGCCTATGCCATGCCATGCGATGCCTATGCCATGCCATGCCATGCCATGCCATGCCATGCCATGCCATGCCATGCCATGCCATGCCATGCCATGCCATGCTATGCCATGCCATGCCATGCCATGTCTATGCCATGCCATGCCATGCCATGCCTATGCCATGCCATGCCATGCCATGCCATGCCTATGCCATGCCATGCCATGCCATGCCATGCCTATGCCATGCCATGCCATGCCATGCCATGCCTATGCCATGCCATGCCATGCCATGCCATGCCTATGCCATGCCATGCCATGCCATGCCTATGCCATGCCATGCCATGCCATGCCATGCCATGCCTATGCCATGCCATGCCATGCCATGCCTATGCCATGCCATGCCATGCCTATGCCATGCCATGCCATGCCATGCCTATGCCATGCCATGCCATGCCATGCCATGCCATGCCTATGCCATGCCATGCCATGCCTATGCCATGCCATGCCATGCCATGCCTATGCCATGCCATGCCATGCCATGCCATGCCATGCCTATGCCATGCCATGCCATGCCATGCCTATGTGAGTACTTATTCTCTGCACTCTGTATGGGCGTTGCTGTGTACCCTTGCACTGGCCTACACATGTGTGTGTGCCCTGCATGTGCCGTGCAGGCGGAGGGCGGATACATGTTTGTCTTCTCCTCATTCGCTGATCGTGACAAGGCCAGAGATGTATACAGTACGTGACCACTGCCCTTTCATGCTTTTCCTGCCCACTTGCACCACTCCACCTGTTTCCCTCGCCACCTCTCTCTTCCCACAACTTCTCCTCCCACCTCTTGTCCTCGTTTGGTCTCCTCATCAACCCTCATCCGAAGCCACCCCATGGTAGCCACGCGTTAACATAGCTCTAAGCCAAGCCAGTCCTCTCCAAGCCAGGAGGAGCTGCCAGGCTGACAAGCCAAGCCAGAGATTCGGTTTGACAGCTCAAGTGGGCGCCTGACTCTCGTTGTGGCCCACTGGCTCGCCAGTCAGGCACAGCGATCCGTTGCGATTGCGTTACATACTATAGAGATGGGGGCGGTCGTGTTTGTGCGACCTGCGCTGTTGCGGCAGGGTTACAATTCGTGACATCACAAAATTTCACCCACCCTGGATGTCACGCCGGGGGTGGGGGTTGTGGGTGGGGGGGGGGGGGGAGGTGGGAGAAGGGTTCAACAATAATTCACTGGGTTGGCCAAGTGTTTTCCGGTGTACTGCAACTTGCCTTCGCTGTGTGCATGAATGCCATTCGCTCGGCCCGAGTGGGTGTATCCATGCCATGCCTTCATCACACCCCATGATCCCGTCACCTGTTGTGACTTATCATGACTCACCATGCCCCGTGCATGACGGCAGGTGCCTACCAGGCCAAGTACCAGAGCACGCCGGCATCCTCCGCCCCCACCCCATCCACTCCTCCGCCCACCGCTCCCTCCGCCTCCGCCTCACCGCTCCTCCCCCCTGCTGATGCTGCTGCTGCTGCTGCTGCCGCTGCCGCTGCTTCTGCAGCTGCTGCCGCTGCAGCAGCGGCAGCAGTTAATGGGGCGAGCGCGGGGGCTGTGCGTGGCATGCCGCCCGGTCTGCCGCCCGGCTTGCCGGCTGGGCTGCCTGGTGCGGTGGCAATGGAGCTGCTGGACCCGGCGGAGCTGCAGCGCCGGCAGAAGCTGCTGCAGTCTGATGCGTGCGTGTTTTGATGGGAGGGGAGAGGGCATGCAGGGGTGGAAGGGGTTGGTGAATCGGGGGGTTGCTGTCCCTACTCTGTGGCCCTGCGTTGTGCTGCACGGGCCACACAGCAAGCTTAGGCGGCTGCGTCGCTGGTCATGACGGGCGCGCTCACCCGTGCCCTCCCTGCCGTGTGCCCTCCCTGCCGTGTGCCCTCCCTGCCGTGTGCCCTCTTCTCTACTCTGCGCGCAGCAAGCTAAGGCGGCTGCACCAGGAGCTGGTCATGACGGGCGCGCTCACTGAGTCCGAGTTCTGGGCCGCCAGGAAGGTGGGTGGGCCGCCAGGAAGGTGGGTGGGCCGCCAGGAAGGTGGGTGGGCCGCCAGGAAGGTGGGTGGGCCGCCAGGAAGGTGGGTGGGCCGCCAGGAAGGTGGGTGGGCCGCCAGGAAGGTGGGTGGGCCGCCAGGAAGGTGGGTGGGCCGCCAGGAAGGTGGGTGGGCCGCCAGGAGCTCATGATGCCTCACTTCCTACCTTTTCCTGATGGGCCTGCCTACCCCTTCGCAGCACCCTCGCCTCTCACTGTTGCCCTCGCCCCTCGCTCATCATCCCCTCGCCTCTCACTGTTGCCCTCGCCTCATCCTTCCGCCCTCTGTGAACGTGCCCCGCCCCATCCCACCACCCCATCCCAACACCTTATTTGTACCGGGTGGCATGGCATGGCATGGCGTGGCGTGGCATGGCGTGGCGTGGCGTGGCGTGGGGATGGCAGGGAGTGGAGGAGGAGCGGCGGAAGCGCAGGCAGCGAGTGGGCGTGGCGAGTGCCATGCTGGCAGACGTCAGAGGCGTCACCGATGGCAGGGTGGGTGGCAGTCTGGCAGACGGCAGGGTGGGTGGCATGTAGGGTGCACTGGAGGAGGAATGGAGGGGTGGGGGTGAGCATGGCGGCCTTCTCATGGCGCGCTGTGTGTTTGAGCCGCTCTCGCCTGGCTGCTCTTGTCGGGCATGGCAGCCGCATCGCTGCTCCTAGCTGACATTTGAAATTGACTTTCGCGTACTTTGACGCTCAAATGTGACGCGGACGCTACAGCAAGGAGTAGTGATAGATGTTGGTGTGGCATCCTGTTCTCTATGAGCAAGTCCAGCGAACGATGGGAGCTGAGAGCATGAGCACACTCTCTTGCACTGATTATGTGCGGACCAGCCATCCTGCGCCCATGCCTCTCACATTCATGGACCACGGTTCACCTTCTCCTCACGTGCTCTTTTCTGTATGCTTGCTGTGCCTGCGTGCGTGCACGCATGCGTGTTTGCGTGTCCGTGTGTGCATGTGCACGTATCCCCCCACCACAGAGCAACACCATCACCTTCAACCTCACACCGCAGATCATCCAACAGGTCTGCACTCGTCCCAGCCAACAGATCTTAAATCACGCTTAACGTCTGGGCTTTCTTGTCTCTCAACTCGCTTATCTCCCAGTCGTCGTTCACTCTGCATGTGGCCCTCCTACTCATCACACGCTGCCTCTGCCTCCCCTGTGTCCCCTCCTCCCTCCATTGGTTGGTGCCCCACCAACTCCTCACCCCGTGCACGCATCATCCCATCTCACTGTGCGGTGCGGTGCTGTGCGGTGTGGGCATCATCGTGGGCCAGATCTTCTTGGAGAAGCCAGCGGTGCACCGCGCCTTCATGGAGCTCGTTCCCGGGAGGGTGGGTGGCGGGAGTGGGGGAGAGGGGGAGGGAGGGAAATAGGGGATTTGGCACGCAGGGAGAGTGGGAGCAAGGGGGGGGTGTTACTGCTTTCATCGAAGCATGTTGATGAAGAGGTTGACACACACACATGCGCACACATGCAAGCCATTGCGTGCATCTCCTATTCTCCACCTCCTCTCCTTCCCCGCTTCCCCTCCTTCCCCCCCCAACACACACACCACCTGGAGCAAAGCAAGTACTACTGGACCGGGCAATCCTCTTCCATGCAAGATATCACATCTCCCACTTTCCACCTCCTCCCCAACCTCAACCCCCCCCCATCTCACCACCCCCCCCCCCCGCCCCATCAGATGCGCGAGAAGGCGTTTTGGGGCAGGTACTATCACATCACGTCTCCCACTCTCCCCCTCCTCTCCTCCCCCCTCTTTCCCCCCCATCTCCCCATCCTCTTCCCCCTCTCCCATTCAGATGAGCGAGAAGGCGTTCTGGAGAGCTATCAGGGCTCTCACTCTTCCCCCTCCCCCTCCTCCCTCCCCCTCTCCCCCACCGTCAGATGACGGAGAAGGCCTTCTGGGCCAAGTACTTCCGCGCGGAGTACCTCTTTTGTGCAAGCGATCACATCTCCTACTCTTCCCCTCTCCTCCCCCCACCTCCGTACCCCTCTTCTCCCCCCCTTCCCCCAGATGACGGAGAAGGCTTTTTGGGGCAAGTACTACCGCGCGGAGTACCTCTTTCGCACGCGCAACGTGGCGGCGGCGGAGGCGGAGGCGGCGGACGATGACGAGCTCGCGCTCTTCGTGAGGGACAACCCGCACCTGCACGCCCAGGCGCGCCAAAAGGTGCCCACCCGCCACCCTCTCTGCCCACCCGCCACCCTGTCTGCCCACGCGCCCGCCCCCCTTGCTCCTTCTGTTGCGGTCGCCCCATTTGTTTGCAAAGCCCTCTTGCTGCCTATTCTCCCAACATCCCCCTCCCTACCCTGCCGCTTGCCGTCAACCACCTTATCGCTCTCGCCTCTCCCCGTTGCCTGTCCTCTGCGTCTTCCCCCTCGCATCGTCCCCCTCGCATCGTCCCCCTCGCATCGTCCCCCTCGCATCGTCCCCCTCGCATCGCCCCCCTCGCCTCATCCCCCTCGCGTGTGGATGGTGGCCTCCTTCCCCCTTCTCCTCACGCCCCCACCAGGTGCAGCGAGTGGACCCAACGCTCAACGTGCTGGCGGACGTCAGCGACGACTACTCCTCCCTGCTCGTGCGTGCCGCCCCACCTGCCCGCTCCCTCGCCTGCTCGCTCGCCTGCTTGCCCGCTCGCCTGCCAGTGGTCCTGCCTGTTCGTGGCCCTTATGCCCGCGTGCCAAGGGAAGGTTGGACGCATGCGAGGAGCTGAAAGGCTGTGTGGGGCTGTGTGGGGCACAGCAGGACGAGGGGTGCTTGCTTGCACGCCTGCTTGCGGTGCTGTCGCGTCGCCATACCACTCCCACCTCTTGAGCCCACCTCTGTGCCCCACCCCTGTGCCTCCTTGTGTAACCCCTGTGCATGGCATGGCATGGCAGGGCCACGGCATTCTGAGGGATGGCCGCAAGGAGGCACCAGCTGTGGAGGGGGAGGGGGAGGGGGAGAAGGAGGGCACAGCAGGGCAGGAGGGGGCAGGTGCGGGCGGGCAGTTGGGCAGGAGCAGCAGCGCTGGTGGTGCTGGTGGTGGTGGTGGTGGTAGCAGCGGTGTGGGGGCGGAAGGGCAGGTGCGCATGAGGCGTACGATATTCCGGGACATCAACCAGCACGCCGCTGTTGTGCTGCAGGGCCGCCTGCTCCGTGAGTCCCCCCGCCCCCCTGTGCTTGCTCCCCCGCCTCTCCCCCATCCCCCGTCCCACACGAGTCCTCCCGCCCTCCCTCGCCCGTCTCTCCTCGTGTGCGACTAACCAGTGCCTGGAGCGCGTCTAACAGGGCCGGGAGGCCGTACGCCCACCCACCCTCGCCCTCCTCCCTCCTGTCTCTCGTCTTCCTCATGCCCCCCCATGCCTGTCGTCTCCACCCCATGCCCCCGCTGACCGTAAGACCTACAAGTCGAGCAGAGACGAATCGAACGGCAACGTGGCGGAACCTATTGTGAACCTACCTTTCTTTCTTTCTTTCATTCATGTTCTTGCCCCCCCCCGGTGTGTGTCATCTCCCATGGCATCGCCCCCTCTCCCGGCCATGCATGTGGATGGCTGCTTGGCAGAGGAGGACGTGGCGGACACCACGCAGCTCGCCACTGCTGTTGCCGAGGCCACTGCCCTCCACGCTGGTGGGGCAGGGGGGTGTGGTGGGGGAGGGGGGGAGGGCGGAAGGGGGAAGGGCAGGTGGGGGAGGGCAGGTGGGGGAGGGCAGGTGGGGGAGGGCAGGTGGGGTAGGACGGATGGGGGGAGGGCGGTTTTGGGGAGGTGCGTGGAGGGAGGGGTGAGACATGAGGGGGATGAAGAGGGCGAAAAAAGTATGAAGGGGGTGGAAGGAAAATGTGTTGTGGGCGAGTGAAGAGAGGTGTGTGGTGTGGGAAGGAATACATAGGGGTTTCAGGTGGGCTAGAGGCTAGAGCTGAGGTGAGCACATTCTGGAGCATGGCTGAGCTGAGCTGTTTTCCAGGCCCATTGGCTGGAGCCTGGACGGCTGCTATGGTGCACACAATGCAGCAAGCAAGCCATTCTAAATAACGTCACTTCGCACTCTTTTTGGCAAAATCCCAGCGCCCCTGCTCCATCACGCCTCGCATTTTGTCCTCACGCCTGTTCCCTCACCGCTGCTCCCTCACACCTCCCCTGCTCCCTCACACCTCCCCTCTCCCGGCCGGCAGGCATGGCAGGGGAGCAGGGGGCGGAGGAGGAGTGGCGGAGGGAGAGGGCGCGCGAGATGGCAGTGATGGCGGACCTCCGAGGGGACGCCCCTCCCACCACCATCCCGCTCACCATCCAGGCACGCCCATCCCGCTCACCATCCAGGCACGCCCATCCCGCTCACCATCCAAGAATCGCTCATCTGCTGGCCACAATTATTGTGGACCCCAACTTTTCAGTGGGGACTTTGGTTCTCACAAAGCTTGACCCAAACCCATCCCAACCCAAACCCATGCAAATCCTATCCTTCTTTCCACTTCCCTTTCTGCTTTTTCCCCCCCGCTTTTTTCAAAATTTGCACTCACGTCTGCACTTACACAACCCGTTTTTCATCCGCCCCTCTGCACCCGTCACCTGGCAGGATCCACGCAAGTACTTTGATGCCGCCACACAGAGGGACACAGCACACACTCAGCAGCACGCGGGCCAGGCAGCTGCACCAGATGCAATGGATTTGGACGGCCCTGAACCCGCCGCTGACTCAGCGCCAGCTGGCACGCACGCCACGCTGGCAGCCTCGCTGGCAGCGTTTCGGAGTGAGCTGGCAGCGGGGGGGAGCGGAGGCAGCAGCAGGGAGCACGGAAAACGGGGTGGGGGAGGCAAGGGAGGTGCAGCGGCAGTGATGGCACCTGCTGCTGCTGCTCAGGTGAGAAGCTTTGTGGGGAAAAGGTTTAGGTGCACAATGCATGGGGGCAGAATGCATGGGAGCAGAATGCATGGGAGCAGAATGCATGGGAGCAGAATGTATGGGGGCAGAATGCATGGGAGCAGAATGCATGGGGGCAGAATGTATGGGAGCAGAATGTATGGGAGCAGAATGCATGGGAGCAGAATGTATGGGGGCAGAATGCATGGGAGCAGAATGTATGGGAGCAGAATGCATGGGAGCAGAATGCATGGGGGCAGAATGTATGGGAGCAGAATGCATGGGAGCAGAATGTATGGGGGCAGAATGCATGGGAGCAGAATGCATGGGAGCAGAATGTATGGGAGCAGAATGCATGGGAGCAGAATGCATGGGAGCAGAATGTATGGGAGCAGAATGCATGGGAGCAGAATGTATGGGAGCAGAATGTATGGAAGCAGAATGCATGGGAGCAGAATGTATGGGGGCAGAATGCATGGGAGCAGAATGTATGGGAGCAGAATGCATGGGAGCAGAATGCATGGGAGCAGAATGTATAGGAGCAGAATGCATGGGAGCAGAATGTATGGGGGCAGAATGCATGGGAGCAGAATGCATGGGAGCAGAATGTATGGGAGCAGAATGCATGGGAGCAGAATGCATGGGAGCAGAATGTATGGGAGCAGAATGCATGGGAGCAGAATGTATGGGAGCAGAATGCATGGGAGCAGAATGCATGGGAGCAGAATGTATGGGAGCAGAATGCATGGGAGCAGAATGTATGGGAGCAGAATGCATGGGAGCAGAATGTATGGGGGCAGAATGCATGGGAGCAGAATGCATGGGAGCAGAATGCATGGGAGCAGAATGCATGGGAGCAGAATGTATGGGAGCAGAATGCATGGGAGCAGAATGCATGGGAGCAGAATGCATGGGTACAGAATGGTCACCCTCACATCAATACCACCCACTCGTACCCGCCACTCACAGCACTTGGCAGACCCCTTCCCTCACCCCAGGGCTCCCCACCCCCCCCCCACCCCTCCGCATCCCACACCACCCACCCGGCGGCAGGAGGTGGAGGAGTTTGGGCGGCAGGTGGCGGTGGCACGGCGGGGCGTGGGGGAGGCAGCGGAGCAGTCGCTGCTGAAGCAGCTGCCTGACACCCTGCGCACCTCCCTGCTCGCGGTGGGTGCCACGTCGCTCCCTCGTACTCCAACGGCATGGACAGGTTGACATGCCATGTCAACCTGTTCCATGCCGTTACATGCCATGTCAACGTGTTCCATGCCGTTACATGCCATGTCAACGTGTTCCATGCCATGTCAAGCTGTCCCATGCCGTTACATGCCAAGTCATGCCGTCCCATGCAGCACTGGAAAGCATGCCAGAAAGGGGGGGGAGACAGAGGCAGTGCGCATGTTGCGTAGCATATTGTGCCATGCCTCTATGGAGGAACCCATTTGTTGTGCTTGCTTCCCATATCCCCCATGTCCCATGTGCTGCATGCATACCCTCATCACCCCATGTGTCGCATGCGTGCTCCCACCACCCCACGCCCCCATCGCGCAGCATGGAGAGGCAGTGAAGGAGCTGCTCTCGCACTTCTGGGCCACCTACCCCCTCACCAGCGCCGCCCTGCTCGCCAAGGTATGCCTTTTTTGTACCAAGATTTTTGCAAGCTTTGTCCAAATTCGATCTGGTGCAACAATCGCGGGGTAGTTAATCACACCAAATATGAATGTGCCGTAGACCTGTCTATCAAACCAAATTTGCACAGGGCGTACAGCTTCTTGCTGTAGTAATCTCTTCTTCTACATGCATGCTGCCATCTTGGAGCGCAAGTCACTGATGTAGCCATCCTTATTGGTGTGCAGACTCACGCCCTCACTTCTCGCCCCATCTCCCCTTACACCATGTGCCCCACCTCCCCTACCGCACCCACCATGGCGGGCAGGCGGAGCGGCACAAGGAGGGCATCAGCAAGCTGTACGACCGCCTGCAGGTCACCCACGCCCTCACTGCTCCCTGCCTCCTGCAATTGCTGCTTCGGCTTCCCCACTCTTCGCCCCGCTGCTCTGCTTCTGATGCTTGCTCCCTTTTCTTCCCCCTTACCCTTCTGTATTCTCTTTCCCCAAACACCCATGTCACCTTTTCCTGTTTTCCTCCCCACCTTTCCCCACCTCGCGAGTGCAGAAACTGAAGGATGGAGCAGATGGGGCCAACCGCCACCTGCTTTCACAGCTGCTACAGCCCTTCTTCCAGGTGCACTAGCTGCTACAGCCCTTCTTCCAGGTGCACTAGCTGCTACAGCCCTTCTTCCAGGTGCACTTGCTGCTACAGCCCTTCTTCCAGGTGCACTTGCTGCTACAGCCCTTCTTCCAGGTGCACTTGCTGCTACAGCCCTTCTTCCAGGTTCACTTGCTGCTACAGCCCTTCTTCCAGGTGCACTTGCTGCTACAGCCCTTCTTCCAGGTGCACTTGCTGCTACAGCCCTTCTTCCAGGTGCACTTGCTGCTACAGCCCTTCTTCCAGGTGCACTTGCTGCTACAGCCCTTCTTCCAGGTGCACTTGCTGCTACAGCCCTTCTTCCAGGTGCACTTGCTGCTACAGCCCTTCTTCCAGGTGCACTTGCTGCTACAGCCCTTCTTCCAGGTGCACTTGCTGCTACAGCCCTTCTTCCAGGTGCACTTGCTGCTACAGCCCTTCTTCCAGGTGCACTTGCTGCTACAGCCCTTCTTCCAGGTGCACTTGCTGCTACAGCCCTTCTTCCAGGTGCACTTGCTGCTACAGCCCTTCTTCCAGGTGCACTTGCTGCTACAGCCCTTCTTCCAGGTGCACTTGCTGCTACAGCCCTTCTTCCAGGTGCACTTGCTGCTACAGCCCTTCTTCCAGGTGCACTTGCTGCTACAGCCCTTCTTCCAGCTACAGCTTTCCCCGTCCTCTCTCCTTCCCTTTCTTTTTGATTCAGCACCCCCCACCCGCCCTGCAGCCCGACCCTCCCACAAGGCACAGCAAGAAGCTCTAGTGCACTTTGGAATGTCAGGTGGGCAAGCTGAGCAAGTGTGCAGAAAAAAACAGTGGACACTGGGGTGCAGTGCAGGAGAGCCACGCCACCACTCAAGCTGCCTCACAACCCGTGCTTCACTTCTCTCACTTCTCCCCTTTCATCCCTTTCCCTTGCTCCACCACCACCTCTCTCTGCGGGTCCCCGCCCCACCCCACCCCACCACACTGCACCGTGCCCATCAGAGTTTGGATGCGGCGTTGGCACACTTTGAGGCGGACAACGCGAGGCGCCAGCAGAGGCGGCAGCGCGTGGGGGCAGCAGTAGGCCGGGCACCCATGGCAGTGGGACAGAGATAAGGGGGGGGGGGAGGAAGGGGGGGCGCCCTCTGCGTGACCTCACCCCGCCGCATGGCGCCCACCAGAGTCTGGATGCAGCGTTGGCGCACTTTGAGGCCGACAATGCCAGGTGCCAGCAGAGGTGGGGGCTGCGTGTTGGGGCAGCGTGTTGGGGCAGCAGCAGGCCGGGCACCCATTGCAGTGGGACAGAGAGATGGTGACGGGTGGCCCTGGCAGTGAGGTACAGATGGGTTTGTCTGTAGCAGCTTGTGTGCCTTAAATGCCACAGGCGTTTTATGTGTCAAAATCTTATGGAATCCATGATTTCAGGGCCGTTTGGGATTCTCTTTGTCTTTACTTGTAGTGTGTTGATAATGAGAAGCAATGATCACTCTAAAGGATAAGCTGCAACGTTGATTAGAGAAAGCAACAAGCATGGTGGCCTCAACAGTCACACAGGCTACCAGATCTGCTCAGATTATTGCCACTTGTTCAATGGTTTGCCCATGCATAAAGAAGAAGAAAAAAACCTCAGTCCAAGGCAAGCAAGAGCAGGTATCTCTCAAGAACCTACTAGCTTGAGTAACGAGAGAATGGTGATACAACCAAAGTGTCGAGAAATATTTGTACCCCCTAGCATTCAACTCACTATAGCATATCTAAATCTACAAACATAGTTTGACACACCCCCATAGGCTAAGTGAGGGGCATCAAAACAGGAATGACACGCATGTGGTCACAAGACCAGTCAAGAAGAGAAAACACAGCAAGCTCAGGGTGGATCACGAAGTCACCACACATTTTGAGCACAAACAGGAGGCCACAAGGCCAGTTCAAGAGTTCGCAAACTTATATAGAAGTACAGCAAGCAACATTAGACAAGACTACTGTAATCAAGAGCCTACATCAACAAGGCCTAACTGCAAACAGAACCTGTGGTGGTCACCAGGCGGAAGGGCCTTGGTGAAGATGTCCAAGCGTGCCTGGCCACGTCGCTGCAACTCTCGCAGGAGAAAGTACCTGACGTCGATGTGCTTCACTCTGCTCTCCAGTCGAGGCTCTCGACACAGGAGGATCATAGCCTTGTTGTCAGCGAACAAGGTCGGTGCAGAGCTCGGCCGCTCACTAAGGTCGGTGAGCAAGAAAGTCAACCAGCGAAGCTCCTGCGCAGCCATGGCACCGGCGTAGATCTCTGCCTCAGCACTAAACGAAGCCACAGAAGACGACCGAGTAGACCTCCACGACACAGCTCCAGCGCCCAAGCTGAAGCAGTAGCCCTGAGTAGACCTCAGTGTCTCCACGTCGTCGGCGTAGGAAGAGTCGCAGTGACCAGTCAGTACAACTGGCTGTGTCCCTCCAAGCACAAGTCCCATGCCTGATGTAGTCGCCAGGTACTTCGCCACCCTCACAGCAGCTGTCCAGTGAACAGGACGGTGTCTCCTAGTCGCAACAAATCGAGAGAAGAAGTTGAGAGGAAAAGCGAGGTCCGGACGAGTACAAGTCATCAGGTACATGAGGCAGTCCACAATTGTCAAAGTATATGCTAGATTTTAACAACAAGCTCTGCGTAGGGACCACTAGACTCGAAAGGCTCGTCGGAAAAAGGGCCGGTGAGTCTGTGGTCAACGGCAAGAGGAGTGGGCTGTGTGGTGGAGTGCTGAAGCCCGAACCGCTGAAGAACCTGCCGCACCATGTGTGACTGTGTGAGTGTGATGGTGCGAGCGGCTCTGTCCCTGGTGATCTGCAAGCCAAGGTAGCGGCGCAGCTCACCAAGGTCACTGCACGTGTGTCTCTTCTGCAGTTCGGACTTCACCCTCGCCAGTGCAGTCCTGTCTGCTGTAGCAAAGACCAAGTCGTCGACGTAGACGAGGACGAAGAAGGGTGTGGGCCCAGAACGAACGAAGAGCGACGGGTCAGCAGACGAAGGACGAAACCCGAGGGCAGCAAGAGTAGTGCGCAGCGTGTCGTGCCACTCACGGGGCGCCTGGCGGAGACCGTAGACTGGTCGGCTCAGGCTCCACTGGGTCCCAGGCGGGAAAGTGCCAGTGAAGCCCGGAGGACGACGCAACCAGATCTCCTCGTGCAGGCTGCCCTGGAGAAAGGCGGTGGAGAAGTCGAGGGAGTGCAGCTCGTAGTCTCGCAAAGCTGCAACATGTAGTAACACCCGAAGAGTCATCATCTTCGGGGTCGGAGCGAAGGTCTGAAAGAAGTCAACTCCCTCACGCTGACTGAAACCTCTAGCCACGTAGCGCGCCTTGAACACAGGCGACAATCCAGGTGGCCGCTTCACCTTGAAAATCCACATGTCGTCGACTACGTTCGCCCCAGGTGGGGGAACTGACGCCATCTCTGCGTCGACGTAAGTGCCTGTGGATCTCCAAGACGCCATCTCTGACTCCATGGCCGCTATCCACTGAGAAGCCCACTGCCCTGACACTGCCTCACGGTACGTGCGAGGAGTCGGTATGTCAAGGGCGTCGGGGTCTCCCTCAGGAGCTAGCAGCATGGCACAGAGATGGGGAGAAGCGGCCGCCAAGTACTCCAGCTCAAACTGCCTGTCCTCTAGGACGTCACAGCCAAGGGCAGACTCACCCCCGGCGGACAGAGGACGGGCAGCTACCACATGGGTGGCGTAGTCAAGGCGACGGGTGGCGGCAAAGTCAGCGACAGCGACAGTAAGAGCCGAGACAGACGACGGAGGGGCACGAGGGTCCGTGACTAGAGAGGCAAGAACACGAGTGACAACAGGACGGGTGGCACGGTAGTAGTCAGTGATAGGGGTAGACGTGGAGGCTGTAAAAGACGACTCAGGAGGTGACGGGAGAACAGACTGAGGTGGAGAACGACGAGGACTCGAACGAAGCAAGACAGTGCGCAGGTCGGCAAAAGGAGACGAGGGGCGTGCACGGACGGGACAACGCACTGTCTAGTCGTGCGGGACAACAGGAGGAGACGACTGTGACTGAGGAGGAGAGAAGACAGCCGGAGAAGAGTCCGGGGGGGGGAACGTAGGACCGTAAACAGGGGGAGACAGTGAGCGGTCTGGAGGAGAGGAAGGAACTCCAAGGGCACGAAGGCCACTCACAGGTGGAAACAACGGCTGCAAGGGCGGCGCCTGCTGCAACTGCTGCGGCAGCTGCTGCTGCTGCTGCTGCTGCTGCTGCTGCTGCTCCTGCTGCTGCAGCTCCTGCTGCTGCCGCTCCAGCCCCAGCCTCTCCTGCTCCAACCGCTCCCGCTCCTCGCGCTCCAGCTGACGAAGCCTCTGGAAACTCGTCGGGTAGCGGTGTGGAGGTGGGGTAGGCGCCACACTAGCAGTGCCTCCAGCTCCAGTCTCCTCAGAACTAGCACCTCCAGCTCCAGCACCCCTAGAACTAATGTCCCCAGGACGAGCACCCCCAGAACTAGCACCGCCAGTGCCAGTAGCCGCAGCTCCAGCACCCTCAGAACTAGTACCTCCAGCGCCAACACCCTTAGCTCCACCACCCTCAGAACTAGCACCCCCAGTGTCCGTGCCCCCAACACCAGCACCCCCGGAACCAGCACCTCCAGCGCTAGCACCTCCAGCTCCAGCACCCCCGGAGTCCACAGTAACCTGTCGCGGAAGTGCCGAAGGCTGCAGAGGGGACTGTGCGGACGACTGCGGAGACGCTACCTGACGCGCGACCGAGGGTAGAGGGGTAGCGTGGGACACACCTGACGGGGCAGGACCAGGGGGGGGCGGGGGTACCGGAGGAGCGGGAGCAGGAGGAGGAGAGGGGGCGAGAAAAAGGGGAGGGGGTGGAATCGAGAGACCTCGACAGGGGTACCGGGTGTAGTAGGACACAGACTCGCTAAACCGGACGTCACGAGAGTCAAAGAACCGGTGGAGAGGCGGGTGGTAAAAGGTGTAGTCAGAGGAGTCCACCGAAAAACCAAGGAAGACACAGGGGATGGCACGGGCCGAAAGCTTGTCCGCAGAGGTGTCGCGGACAAGCGCAAGGCAGCCCCAGACTCGAAACTCCGACGCAACACCAGGGGACCCGGTCCAAAGACTGGTCGGTGAAGCCCCTGGCTGAGAGACACGAGGTCAGAGGTTCAGCTGGTGGGCGGCGTAGCGAACCGCGTAGGGCCACAGAAAATGGGGTGCACGGGCATGGATCATGGAGGTACGGGCAATCTCCATGACCAAGCCTATGCGGCGCTCAGCAACCCCAATCTGCTGTGGGGACTCTGGAAGTGTCCAGGACTGGGTGATGCCCTGCTCGCTACAAAACCCGCGAAGAATGCCGGAGCGAAACTCGCCCCCACGGTTGGAGTGAAGACAACTAACACGAAGGCCATGTGTGGTCTCAGTGGCCAGCAACCACCGGATCAACGTAGAAGTCACGTCGGACTTCTTCGCCAAAGGAAACACGGTGGTGTAGCGGGAGTATTCGTCAACGACCACTAGAAAAAAGCTCTCCCTCTCGGGCCCAGGGCGAGGGGCGGGGCCCCAGACGTCCAAGTGGACAGTCTGGAAAGGTGCAGTGGCCGGACAAAGGGAGGAGGAGTGAGGAGTGGCGCGCAGCCGACCCTCGGCGCAAGGAGTGCACAACGGCGCAGGCGAAGGAGGGAGCGACGCAAAGACACGTGGGAGACCGGAGACAAGACGCTGGCTAGCCATGCTGCGGAGGCGTGGGAGAGACGGGTGACCAAGACGGTGGTGCCACAAGACTGTCGGGTGAGAGAGTGACCGACAAGAGCAAGACGCAGCAACCAGACCGGACACAGCCACCTGGCCGGACACCGCAACCTGAGGGGACGCAACAACCTGAGGGGACGCAACTACCGGGGAGCGCTCAGTGTGCAGAACGTAGAGGCCGGAGCGGGACTCTCTGGTAAACGTGGCAAGAACGACACCGGTGACAGCGTCCGTGCAGACTGCAGTCCTCCCGCCTCCCAGAAAGGTAACTGTGATCCCCCTATCCTGGAGGTATCCAACACCCACCAAGTTCCGAGTGAACGAGGGGATGTGGAGACCTCTAAGCCAGTGCAACCGGAAC